CCACTTTAGGTTAAATCACACCTACTTCTCTCTATAATTCCTCCCAGATGCAGGACACACACACGTGTCGTACATAACACACACACACACACACACACACACACACACACACACACACACACACACACACACACACACACACATCCACATCCATTGGAAGGAAGATGGCAAAGTATCATATTAGTGGAGAGGTTTTGGCTATATATTTAACCCATAAATTACCTCAATTAAAAGATTAACTATTGAATTCAGAGGATTGTTGGGAAGGAAAACAGTGAATCAGGAACAGCAGATTATAGAGAGTGACTGTTTTATAGTAAGAAAATATTTAAAGTCAAGAAGTTCCAGCAGTTTCAGGACTTTTGTTTTATTTTGTCCCTCACCCTTAGCATATGTTTCAGCACGTGTGTGCACTTATCAGACTGTCATAGTAGCAAGGAAAACAGAACTTTTATTTTTAACTTATTTAACAGTATTAATGAGTTGGGTTACAAGGAACAGTATGACTACTGTTCATTGAAAGCCAAAACATCAATCTTCTTAACTTATAGTGGTAGAGGCACAGGGCATGTCTTAGCGATTAATGATCAGTTGGAGGAGGAGATATCTCAATACATACCCAAGGGCCATTAACCCCAACTGGTCGTTAATTCCCAAGAAAGGTCCTGTACTGAGGTCGTTATTGCTAATAAAATGCACACATGGAAAGTTCCCTCTCTTTTGCCTGTGTACATAAACATACGTTCACATTACATGCATTGTTGCATTTCGTGAAAAAAAAAAAGTAGTATTTTACATGTCCAGAAGTTCAGAAAAACTAAGCCTAATGAAAAATTTAATGTACTTAAACTCTGCATTCAATTTGCCTTTCATTTTGGTGAGGGGCAAGGGTAGGTGAAATAATACGTGTTTGTAGATCAAGGCTGTGGATCTTCTTCGATCAGAGACCCATATTTTGCTGACATGTAGATCTAGGGAAAAATGGAAGCAACAGGCAAATGGGATTAGAGTTGCTGATGAGTATGGATGGAATCAGCACATAAGATCTAACCTCAAAGGCAGTGTGGAGTAATGGCACTGTTTGAGTCATAATATATTAGGTACCAGAACAGGCATGAGGCACATTTCGCAGTTAGGTCAAGTTCTTATTTGGTGTCCTTTGTCTTCCACCTCTCTGGATTATGCTACTCTGTCCCTCTTTTCTCCTCATAGCAATCTAATCAAGACTATAATGCTTCAGGTTTTTCAAGAGCCCTTAAGGAAATATCACTGTCTTCCGAAACTAGTTCTTTTTGCTTTCCATTCTTTCACTGTCTGCCATGAAACTATCCTTGTCTTGCTTAAATCTGTATGATACACGTTTGAGCTATCTTCCATAGCATCCCATAACTATCTTAATTTTAGAAATTATTTCATGGTGCTTCCATTATTTGTATATAATCAATCACTCCTTTCAGAAAATAATCTTATTTTTTTTCCTCATCTATAAAGGGTTAACAAACGGTTGGGGACCAGCTATGATGTTAATGACTGTTACGTGTATATTCTTGTACATATGTTCTTATTTGCAAAAACGTAGTAAGTTTTTAAGGAGATCCTGTAAGTCAGTGGGTGTATCTGTTTTTTACTGGGATAAGTGACAAATTGAAAGGTTGCAAGTCATTTCTTAAGAGACTGAGTAACTTAAAACTCACATGATTTTTTTTTAATTTTTTTTTCAAAGTTTATTTATTTTTGGGACAGAGAGAGACAGAGCATGAACGGGGGAGGGGCAGAGAGAGAGGGAGACACAGAATCGGAAACAGGCTCCAGGCTCCGAGCCATCAGCCCAGAGCCTGACGCGGAGCGCGAGATCGTGACCTGGCTGAAGTCGGACGCTTAACCGACTGCGCCACCCAGGCGCCCCTAAAACTCACATGATTTAAAACTAATTGTGATAAACTTTTCTGTAGACCAGCTAAAGTGACTGTTTTGTGGCCGTAATTTCTTTATTTTTGAAGAATTTACTTTAAATAGTAATACAGTTCTTTATTTTTGAAGAATTTATTTTAAATACATTATTTTGGGGCACCTGGGTAGCTCAGTTGGTTGGGTGTCCAACTTCGGCTCAGGTCATGATCTCATGGTTTGTGGGTTCGAGCCCCGCGTCAGGCTTTGTGCAGACAGCTCAGAGCCTGGAGCCTGCTTCGGATTCTGTGTCTCCCTCTCTCTCTCTACCCTACTCAACTCACACTCTGTCTCTGTCTCTCTCTCTCTCTCAAAAATAAATAAACATTAAAAAAATTTAAATACATTATTTAAAGAAGGATTTACTGGTGTTTAAAATACGCATTAATAAAGTTTTAAAAACTAAAATTTTCATAAAGGGCTACTGTTGGCATAGATCTTTTTGGTCAGAAGGACATTCCTGTTTTCTCTCAAATTAAGTGAAACCATCAAGAAATGCCAAGTAACTGTGAATAAAATATGTAATATGTGGCATATTTAGTACAATATTCTTTTTCTTTAATTTTTTAATATTTATTTTTGAAAGAGAGGGAGACAGAGTGTGAGCAGGGGAGATGTAGAGAGGGGGAGACACAGAATCTAAAGCAGGCTCTAGGCACCGGGCTGTCACACAGAGCTTGACGTGGGGCTTGAACTCAACGGGCAGTGAGATCATGACCTGATCTGAAGTCAGACGCTCAACGACTGAGCCACCCAGGAGCCCCTTAGTACAATATTCTTAAATGAGTATCTAAATTACCTTGGTTATTCACATATGTGGTAATCTTCTAAATAAAAGAATTAAATATGTGCAGATTACACATAAGACAGAACAGTTAGGTATTTCTTACAGGTATCTTTGAAAGTAATTAAAATACTTTAAAAAGTATAATTTATTAAGCATTTATGTTCAACATTTCATGAAGAAACAACATAAAACTTGTAGTCTATTTCCTTAAAATATTTGTCATGTATAACAATGAATCAATACATCCCTAAATTTTATTTTACTTCACTTTCCCAGATTGATCTTAACTTGTGAGATTCAAGGTAACTAGATCCTTGATATTCAGAGGCATTTACTTAAGAGTTGTTCTTTCATAAGAAAGTTCACTCATATTAGACCTTGTCTTAAAACTAAAGCATATACATAGAACATTTTGATATTCAATAATTAGAAAACTACTTAAAGTATACTTTTTTTTATAAAGGATACTTTATACTACAGCAATTACTAATGAAGTATAGAAATTTTTTGGACAAAAGGTAAAGCAGGTACCACATCTGGAATCTTCCCCGGAAGTAGGCATAGCGAGATTCTCTCTGTGGGCTGTTTCTCAGAAAGACAGCAGTAACTTTGTGGAGAAAGAAGAGAAGTTGAAGACTGCAAGAGTTGATCCCTTGATTCCACCACTTTGCAAAACACCCAAAGAGTGGGTTAAGAGTCCAACTCTAGCCAAGGTCCTGGCCAAATATTTTAATTCACTTCTTATGTGACCATGTGATCTTGGGAGATCCATTTAACTGTATACCTCAGTTTCCTCATCTGTGAAATGAGGTAAATAATTATGTATCCTTTAAGGCTGTCAGTGGCATTAGTAAAAGGTAGACTGAGACATACTAAAATTTTAAGTTCATTTGAGCAAAAATTGATTCCAGCCCTGTAGTGCCCAACCGGAAGTGGTTAGGAGCACGTTGCCTCTGGGAGCCAGAGTAAAGACTTGGGCAGAGAAAGTGCCAAAGCAGAGAAAAAATTGGCTACAGCCTGCGGCCTAGTTGGTTCTTTGTGATTGGTTGTCCCTCGTGTTTTGATTTTGTAACTTTGATTTTGTAACTTTCGATTTTGTAACTTTGATTTTGTAGACTTACATCTCAGCTTGCTTAGGAGGCCACCACTGCATTAGAGTCACCCCAGTCTCACGGCCTCCTTGTTTAGTTCATTTAACAGGATTAAGTTATTTCAGTTATGGAAAGCATTTTAAAGGAAGTATCTGGTACCTATAAATATTCAATCAATATTATTTGTCATTATTATTATCAGGCTTAGTTTGAAATGTGTGTTTTAATTTATTTCAGGTCTTAAGAAAGACAAGCAAGGCAGCTTATTTATGGCAACCTAGTTGATCACAACTTCCTCTCTTTTATAAAGCCTTTTATATTACATTTTGTTTTTCTTTTCATTACTGCCGTGTGTGGAATAGTATATAGAGTGCAGGTTAAATCACATTATCCCAGGCCTAAAATTGGTGGCGGTGGCTCTGACCTAATCATTGCCAATTTTTCCAATTTTAGGCAGACTTTTAAACTATCTTTATGTCACAGGGCACCTAATTGACTCAGTCAGTTAAACCTCCAGCTCTTGATTTTGGCCCAGGTGACGATCTCATGGTTTCTGAGATCGAGCCCCAGGTCTGCACTGTTAGCACAGGGCCTGCTTGAGATTCTCTTTCTCTCTCTCTGTCTTCCCTTCTATCCCTCCTCATGGTCTCTCTCTTTCAAAATAAATAAATAAACTTAAAAAAAATCTTTATGTCAGAAACAAGAGAAGAACTCCCTGAACATGACAGCTTTTATTTGTTTTTGCTTAGGGATCTTTCTCCTTGGGGATGATATAGGGAAAGAATAGGCTTCTACCTGTATTCTTATTTGAGTAAAGAACTCATGAAGTTAGAAAGAGTTGGTTCCTCTTGCATTTGTGTTAAAAACAAAACAAAACTTTGTTACAGAAGGGAAGCTTATTATCATAAATAGTTGAAACTTTAGTATGCATTCTCCTCTGCATCTGAGTAAAGGCAGACCTGAATTTTATCAATCAGTTCTGATTCATTTCCCTTGTAACAATTTGGAAAATCAAAACAGGGGAGAAGGTGCAATTATTATTTTTAAAATCTATACACATTCAGAAAATTATAATTTAGAAAGTCTAGGAAAATCAGCAAACTGCTTTATTAATGATTCTTTTCTTATTTTTTAGATTGAATTTTCACTGTTTGAAAGAGGACATTGTTTTCATCATGAATGCTACTAAAAATGAGAGACCAAAGTCCAGAAGCCACAATTTTCACCTTTTTCATGCCTTGATGATGCTAAGCATGACCATGCTGTTTCTTCCTGTCATTGGAACTGCTAAGCAAAATATTCCACGACTCAAGCTGACTTACAAAGGTAAGTCTGTAAATGTTTTTCAGATTGTCTTTTGGATGACTGTATTTCTTTTCTTTAGAAATGCGTACTGACTTCAGTGAAATGTTTATAGTATTGGCATCAGTTAATAAAAATATTATAGAATACAATGCCCAATTATCATTTTTGTGAGGGAAATGGTGCCTGGGTTATTCGTGTACCCTTTTCAGCTCATTATTTACAATGATCAGCTACTGATTAACATGATTTGGTGATTTGGTTTATAGGTTATAATCAGATTTGTATTAAAACAAATCAGTCCCTAAAAATAGAAAAAACATAATTTCATATAGCTCATATGGATTAGTTCATCCCTAGTTAGAGGGGATTTATTTTTAAACACAGTAAGATATCTTCAAAAAATTAATACACTAACCTACCATTAAGATCTCAAACATATACATGTTTATTCTTTTAAAAAGACCATGTGGAAGGCTTGAAATACAGAAATGAAAATCTCTTTAAGAAATGAAATATGCTAATTGTTTTTAAATGTTTAAATTAACATAAAAGCAAAGTTTATATGAGTTATATTTAGTCATCTTACATGTGTGTATGTTTATGTGTATAGATAGATAGACAGGGACTATGCCAAGTTTTATTCTTAAAAATGTATTTCTTTTGTTTTCTCTTCTTGCTTCTTTAATACTTTAAGTGATGAGAAGGATGTAGGGACTTATACTCCTTTATACCAAACTTGGTAGGTAAAACTTATGCCTGCAGTTTTAATAGCTGTTTAAAACAACTTACTGAGTTCAAATTGAATATCAATAATAAAACCTAACTTCATGTCAAATATAAGTGGAAGTGGAATTGGCATTATACCCATTACACATTTCATACGTGGGTATCTGTCTGGAATTTATATCTCCTAAGTTAAAGAGTTAAGGCAACATATTATTTTCGAGTTCTAATATTTTTCTAGAATTTTTTAAGCTGTTTAAAAAAAGCACACAAGAAAACAAAAAAACAAACCCAGAAAATTGCCTCTGTGTGGTTGAGGGCAGGATTAACTGGGAAGAGATATGGAAAGAAATGTTTTGGAATTATGGAAGAGTTCTCTATCCTGATAAGGGATGTGATTCCCCAAGTATATGGATTTTCCACAACCCATTGTATGCACAAGTCAGAGTCGTTCATTTGCCTGTATTCAGAATTAATCTTAAGAAAAGAACAGAAAACAAATATGAAAGTCCAAACAATTAAAAAAAAAAGATACAGAAAGTTTGAAAATAAAGAGGTTGAAGGGGAAAAAGGAAAAGGAAACTCTGGTTCCTATGATAGAGTGAATAACACTAGAAGATTGCATTGATATGTGTGAACAACACAAAATAAATCAGACTTGCAAAGAAACAGAGAGCAAAGCATTGGTATAAACGCGGTGTGATGTCATTTCATCCTTAGCACCGGCTGTTATGGTGAGGATCGTTATCATCCCCTTCCTACATATATGGGTATGCTGAGATACCAAGAAACTGAGAAACTTGCCAAGGTTTCAGATTGGGTCGTGGCTCAGCTCCTGAGTCAGCCTCGTGCTGCATAGACACTAACTGCCTGATCCTATTTCTTAGTTCCTGGTCATTAGTGGTTCTTCCCTGAGGCACTCACCCATCAGAGTGAGCTTTAACATTTACAGAGGCAGCATGCTGATGTTTGGCTGGCTATATGATTTTCAGTTGTCAAAATTAAACAGAGTTGAAGAAGGCCACATGCTCTATTTAAGATGACATCGTGGCCCAAAGAGACCTACACACTTGTGAGATGTTATGCCTTTTGATAAATATATGGAAAAAAATATATATCGTCATCGTGATCATTTGGGTTCATAATGATAGTTCCATACAAATGGTTATAAAATATGAACTCAAATGTGATAAGTTGATTATTTGAAACTAGCAAATTAGCGCCTAAAAATAGAAAAATATTATTAATTAATTCCATATAGCTGCTACTAATTAGTTTATCCCTAGTTTGAGGGTTTTGTTTTGTTTTGTTTGTTTTTGTATGCACATGTTTTTGGACTTGGAATCAATCCTGTGAGTTCAAAGTCTTGTTTACTTATCTCTGTATAGACTGTCACTCCTCTCAGTGCCTAGTGCTTATTTATATAAAAGCAGAACTGGTGTAAGTGTTGGATTAAATGCAGTAAGAATTACTCTTTTGATGGTTCTTCTATTAAGTATACTTTCCAAGTGTTATGTTTTTTAGATTTTTGTTTACATTTGGGTAATTGACATGTCGCAGCCTGGTAAGCAGCAACAAAGATTGAATGCAGGATGAGAATTATGGAAACCTCCTCCCAACCCACCCTCCAAAGATACACACACACACACACACACACACACACACACACACACACACACCTCTGCTAGCTCCCCATAGCTACTATTAGCCTTTTGTTTCCAGATTGTATGCTAATAATTGAGTGGTCATCTTTACTAGGAGAATTATTCACAACCCTAACAGAGCACTCCTCTTCACACTTTAAAGAATAGGTTGGGGCGCCTGGGTGGCTCAGGCGGTTAAGCATCTGATTTTGACTCAGGTCTTGATCTCGCGGTCCATGAACTTGAGCCCCGCGTCAGGCTCTGTGCTGACAGCTCAGAGCCTGGGGCCTGCTTTGGATTCTGTGTCTCCCTCTCCTTGCATCTCCTCTGCTCACACTCTGTTTCTCCCCCCGCCCTCAAAAATAAACACTAAAAAATAAAAAAATAAAAGAATATCTCATCTCTTTGGAAATCATCTATTCAGCACTATGAATGTGCACATCCACTTCCAAGAATGTGAACCACTTCCATGTCCACCTTTTCGCCACCATATCTGAGAGTTGAGAAGGAAAATAGTTCAAATCCTGATATTTTTAAGTGAGCTGTTCCAAAATAAACAGCTATGATGTAAAAATTCCTGCTAATTTGGGGTTATGGTGAGGCAGATTGCCTGTACACAACATTCCTACTTCTGAGATAACGATCATAGCTCTCTCTTGGCATTTTCCTTCTCTTTTGATTCTAACTAATTGAGATCAGCTAATACCACCCATTGCTTAGATAGTTTGGGGAGCGTCTAAAAGTTTGTGCTTTGGGCATTAAAACACTGCCACAATGTGAGGTTGGAAACATCAGCTGAAGTGAAAAAATAATTTTGTTTTCAAAAATATTTAATTTTTCTGGTCACAAACTCCACTTTGTTTTCTTTGCTTTCCATGGTTCATGCTTCCTTACATGCTGACCAGGGATGCAGACAGTATCAGTAGCATTAGCTACTTTGAGCAGCTGCAAGGTTATTTTGAGGGATTTCTTAAAGGCCAACAGAAAATATAATAACCATTTTATCCGAAGAATGCTCTTTGATAAAGACTTAACTTTGAACTTCTGAATCCACAGGAGCTTGTTTGGTTCCATTGTTTTGTAAAGAGATTTCCCTTCAGTTGCATATTTTGAATTCTTGCACATGTATGCATCCTAAATCTATTTCTTGAGTAGCAGGTAAGGAAACTTGGAGATCAGGATGCTGTATGTATCTGGAATTCATGTTATAAGGTTATGATATACATTTTGCCCTATAGGTTGGACTTCTCTCAGTGGTGTGTACAGTTTATACTGCAGATGTAGTAAAAAAATAACTTGTGAGAGATGACCGATTTCAATCCTGTAATAAATAGTATAAACATTCCATATTTCACAATCGTTGTGAAGGAACTCATGGGTTCAGGATATTTTTGCCCAGGAATCATTAGCATCTGCAATATTATTTGTTTGGAGAACCAGAAAATGAGGTAGGTAAAATAAAGAAGAACTGGACAAAAGCTTTGGAATAGGAGGAGAAAAATGAAAGTTAATTGAATATACAAAGACTCATTTCTTATTATGAATTGTAGTGTTTTTTTCATCTTTTTTTTTCTTTTTTGTATAGTCTCTCTAGCTTTTCTTTTTCCTTTCCTAATTTTAGATTTTAGTACTACCTTATATGTGAATGGCTTATATCTATTACATATATGTGTATGCATGATATGCGTATGTTTCACATGTATCATCTTTTTTCTTACTACATCCTTTGAACCTGGCATAAGGGGAATTCAGCTATCAGTTCCATTTGAATATCCCCCTAAGTCAGTGTGTCGCATAGTGAGCATAATACCGTCAATTATGCTTTTTGTGAAACATTATTATCTTGCTAGATGTGAATGATTGTCTACAGACCAAAGGTTTCCCTATGGGAACAACTGTGAAAAATATTATGTAGCTCCCTCTTGTTTACAACACATATTAAGATTACTTCCACTTACTCCCAAAGCATTTTCTACTGGAGTTAGTTTCCTTCAGTTAAGTACCACCCAGAGATTGTGAATTTATTAAAGGTGCTTTCCAGTATTTTTACTGTTGTGGTCTTCTAGTAGTTAATAAGCCCTTCCAGTTAAAAAGATCATTGTTGACCTTGATAAGAGTAGTGTCTTTGATGGTTGGTAACCTTCAGAATGGGTTAAAGTGAATCATTAAAATCACTAAGGAGTTCCAACCACAAAATGCAATCTAGAGTGGACATTTTTGTTGTCAAATTAATGGGAAAAGAAGCCGGCTTGCTCTGAATACCTCCCCTTAAGTACTTAGTGAAGAAGCCTTATCAATCTTATAATAAGAATTTACATGTAATATATGTTTTTTTCTATGAAGCAAGTCACTGATGGTTTAATTTTGGTAGATGTGTCATGTTTGAATGAACGCACTTGTTTTCCCAAATGTATTTTCTCTAAACAGAGGCTGTTCATCTGGGCTTCTGTAGTTTCAAGAATTTAGGGATAATCTTACTGTGTGTGTGTGATGTTTAACTGTCAACAGTTAATAACAGTAGTTTCTGAATGCCCATTACGTTTCTGGCCTTGTTCTGGCAACAAGGGGATATGTCAGCAAATGGAAGAGGCCAAAATCCTTGTCATCATGTGGTTTATATTCTGATAGGAAAGGCAGGCCATATATAAGTACATT